ACTTTTAGCATTTTCTAAGTTATTTGTTTTACTCAGAATTTTATGTTATATACAGTTGTGTGGAGGTGGCTGTCATTTTCTCTCCCTTGCACCTAACCCCTGAGCACTTTTTCTCATTCAATATCATCCTTTGCTACACAGAGAATTCAAGACTAATTTTGGATAGAACATTGTTCCAAAAATAGCAAAAGCATATGCCCCTATATCTGTTTGTTGACAAGGCTGATACAAACATCGAGCATATATAGCTCTAATTCCACGTTCCTAACAGATGTCGTCTCTCATCATAGTTCTTGATCACAGTCAATATTCATATTCTCCACCACGGCATTTCATATGGTCCTGTCCATTGCAGATACACAAAATATAAAACAAGATTTAAAACCTCACTTGCTGGAGACCCGGGGAGAATGCTTTCTGAATAAAGTGTTTGCCATCACAAAAGTGAGAACCAGAGTTTAGACCCTCAACACAGGGGGTCGTGTTGAGTGACCCTCAACTCACTGTGTTGCCAAGGCTGGCCTTGAACTTGCGGCAATCTTCGTTTCTCCCAGCCTCCCCAGCGCTGGGATTAAGGCATGCACCATTGCAACCAGAGACTCTTGATTACATTAAGTTCATGGGATCCGTTTCATACTGAAACCATGTAATTTCTCCACTGATCACAGTTGATTTGTGGGAAATGTAAGACATATTTGTGACCAGCAGTAGTGACCTGTGCCCCATGACCTGTGCCCCATGACCTGTGCCCCATGACCTGTGCCCCATTTGTGGTAAACACCTGTGAGCAGCCTGATCCCTCAAGTTCACAGACAATTCAGAATAATTACTGGGCTTTCTGATTCAATGAATGAACTAAGGAAAAAAATGAGTGAAAAAAAATGAATGAACATGTTTATTTTTACTTAAACAGTCTGTGTAACCCAGGCTATCTTCCAATTTGCTGCCCTCCTGCCTCAGTCTTCCAAGCGTTAGAATTATAAACATCCCCAGTCGTACTTGGGTTAATTAATTTTTTTGAAGGGAAAATATTGGAAGGAAAAATTATGTTGCTCACATGGTCACAAAATCTTTTGAACTGCTAAAATCTAATACAGCTCAGATCTAACTAATATCCTAACAAGTTATGAGTAAAATATCCTTCCTCTAAACTGCTGGCCAGCAAGAGATTGTGACTCATCAGTGCAGTTTCCCACAGTTCCTGAGCTGGATGGTAGAAGCCTCGGGGGATACCAGGTGTTTGGCCAAAAGTGACCTTTGTTTCCATGCTCACTCCCCACGATGGTTAATGTCAACTGCCAAATGGACAGAATCTAGAATCACGTAGGAACCAAGCCTCTGGTCACACCAGGAGGGGTTATCTGGGTCAAGGTCAGCCTCTGCAGAGGGCTGTAAGGGGTTATCTGGGTCAAGGTCAGCCTCTGCAGACATCGCACAACCCCTGTACCTAAGGCTCAGAGAATATTAGTGGGAAAGCTGGCAGAAAAATTACAAGAGCCAGAGGACTGAGCGAGCCGCTGTGAGACAGTGTCTTCTGGGAACGACACCGAGGAACGGTCAGCAATGTGGTTGCCCTACAAGACTACTCCATTAACACACCAGCATGGATTGGGGGTCCTATGGCCCCTCCCCTAGATGAAGAGCTACAGGCAGTCAAAGGAAGGCTGCTGAGGAAGAGAGACTGTTTTCCCCTGGGATGAGCTCCGGCTGGTTTACCCCGTCCTACGAGGCTTGCCCAACCCTAAACACATACAGCACCAGCAGACAACACTAATGAGACTCAGCAAGCTTTGTAGATGCATAGAGGCAAGCACTCTACTGCCAAGCTAAATTCTCAAAATGTAACCTAATCTAATATTCATGTTACAGCAGCTGTTACCTGCATTTGAGGATGCTTACCCATTGTGTATGCCTTCATGCTTGATGCATAGCTTTAACTTTTTTTATATTCCTTCTTTTGTTATATTTCAGATTTTTATATGTTAAACAATATATTTATATAATGGTTATATTAATACATCATGTATATATGACATACGATATACAATGTTATTGTTATATAATATATACTATATGACATATATACAATGATATATGTGTATATATGGCAGTAATATATGCACATTATTGTTATATATTGTATATAATATACAATTATATTACATATAATATATAATTGTATCACATTTAATATATAATGTATAATGTATATGCTGTTTCTATATATTAAACCATTCAGGGCTGGAGAGAAGACTCAGTGGTTAAAAGTTCATAGTGCTCTGTGGAAGAGCCAGGCTAGGTTCCCAGCATTCATACTGAGCGCTCACAGTGGCCTGTAACTCCAGCTCCAATCTGACACCCTCTTCTGGCCTCTTCGGGCTTATACCCACACACAGACGGAGACATAGGATTTAATATTATTTTTTAGCTCAATCCGAAATCATATTTTTAAACATTTTTTTCCTTGCACAGTTTATACAGCACTGGACCATTCATTGTCTTCATTGTCTCTCCTTTCTTCTTCGTAAATGTCTTCTCTTGTGTTGATGTTTGTTTACAAACAAGCGTTTCCCATTCTACTGGTTTGATGCTTAAAATTTAAATACAGGCAGGCATGAATGCACAAGCACACACACACACAAGCACACACACACACAAGCACACACACACACACACAAGCACACACAGAATGCTAAGTCTGGAGGTTAAAACAAACCTCTATATATTTTCATGAATTGGTTTTCATCTATTTCCAGAGCATGTAAGAATCTTTTGACATTTATTTTTAGTCCTCTTCACACTTATGAGCTATGAATTGTTGATATATATTTAAATTCAATTTATACATATGCCTATCCACCATGTATCTAAGTAAATCTGAGTACTACTATTGCTGCAATAGTTTTTTTCTTGTGTGTGTGCGTGTTAGGGACTCACTATGCAGATCAGGCTGGCCTCCAACCTACAGCAATTCACCTGTCTCTGCTTCCTGAATGCTGGGATTAAGGGCATGCATCACCAAGTTTGGCTTTCATTGTTTTATAGGCATTCTTTAGTCATATCTCTGCATCTTCTCCTGGACTGTTTTCTCTCTGAATAGTCACAAATCCTGTCGTAAGTGCGGGCTTGCTGGTAATCAACATCTACTCTGCTTTATAGTAGTCTCATTTTATTTGCGTTCTAGAGTCATCCTTTCTTGTTTTATTGGACTTACTCTTGACCATGAGGTCTTTTACGATATCACGTTCATTGCCAACAGAATTCAATCATTTTTTATTCAGCTGTCAGTTACATTGCTGATCATTTAAAGGTCTTTGGTTTATCTAGAATAATCTGTAAATGGGTTTTGGTTTTGATTTTGAGCAGCGTTAATATGATTGGCTGCGTTTGCCATTAATCTCTGTGAAGTACATACTCTGCACGTACGTGAGACTTTGTGTCTTTCAAGGTTACAGATTCCCTGCCCCCAATTCTTTAAATACTGCCTCTCTGTTCTTTCGAGTAAGACCAAGATGATACCTATGTGAGATTTCCTCAGCACACCTAACATCTCATAGGGATTCTGTGTGTGCACATAGATAAATACGTACATCCTGTAACCATATTTTTCTATGTAGCTTTACCTGTATTTTTCTTCTGACAGATCTGCAAGTTCATGAATTCTCAGTTATGCCATAACTGAGAATAACTACAATACTCATCTTGCTGTTATTCATACTTGCTATATAAAGGACTTCCCAGCCTTGCCCTCTATTTCTTAATGTTAAAACAAATCAGTTTACAATCTATTTTCCCACTTAGTCCCGCGTCTCTTCCTGTCGTCTTCTGTTTTTCAGCCTTGCGTCCTGTGTGAGGCTGTGGTAGCATCTGTCCGACCACTACCAGGAGGGCACAGGTGCTCTGAGCTCTAAGGTGGTGTTTTGCTTAAGGAGTAGTGAATTGTGTTTCGTGAAGGCAACTAAATGAACAGAAACTGCTGAACCACAAGAATCCCCTTCCAGGAATATCCAGAAAATTTCCCAATTAGACATCTATGAAGGTCAAATTTCTTGCTTCCAATAAAGTTTTTAGAAAATCCCTGACACTAATTTTTTTTTTTGAGACAGGGTTTCTCTGTGGTTTTGGAGCCTGTCCTGGAACTAGCTCTTGTAGACCAGGCTGGTCTCGAACTCACAGAGATCCACCTGCCTCTGCCTCCCGAGTGCTGGGACTAAAGGCGTGCGCCACCACCGCCCGGCCCTGAGACTAAATTTTCATGGGGAAGAATTGGCCTGCTATAAACTTGTACCAAAAATGTTGTGCCAAATAATCTTTCAAATATTAGAATATCAGCAGATTTTGGTGTTTCAATTATTTTAAATTCTTCTTGCATATGTATCCTAGATTCTTCTGTTTTTTAAACTTAGAATCACTTTATTTAAAAAATAAACATATTTTAAGGATAATAACAATGCTAGGAAGGAAGCAGGATGTATTTCAGAGCCTCGTGTATTAAGAAGGAATAAGTTTAGCCTTGCATAACCTTGGATAACTTTTCCCACAGATCTTTTATTTTGATTCATTAGTTAGCTAATTGCCTTATTATATAGCACCATCTGGCTTTGAACTCTTGATGTACTCTTCATAATCTAGCCTGAGTTCTGAGTATGTGCTGCCAAGCCCAGCGGATTCCCTTTTAGGTCTTTGTATCTGGTGTCAGTGACAGCCACAGTGCACTAGACAATGGGATTTTCCCATGGGGGTGTTGATAAAGAAACTGGAAATGAATTGTATAGCTAAAGGTCTAAACAGAAAATCAACAGCAATGGAGAAACACCCAAGTTATCAAACGGGTGACATTAATAAGGAAGGCAGAGTCATACATGACTCACCTGCAGGAAGCTATAGAGCCAAGGTTCCCAACCTCTCTGGTGAGAACCTCAAGAGGAAGAAGAGAGTCTGTGGGAGAGCATGGAATTGTGGTGCTCTCCAGAAATCAGACATCAGCAGCTCTCAGCAGGGGGACGAGGAGTCAAGGCAAACAGCCGAGGACATGGAAATCAAGAAGACGGGATTGGTACAATACAGTTCAGATGTACGAAATGGGCAGCACCTGGAGGATGTGGCACAAAAGAGAAGCGAGCAAATAAGTGTGCGACGTCATAAGCATGTGTGTGATGTCATAGGCATGCGTGCGACATCACAGACATGTGTGACGTCATGGGCGGGCATGTCATCATAAGCATGTGCGTGACATCAAAGATGGGGTGGAGGCACCTGGGCAAGCAGGGTAACAAAGACACTTCACCAGCCGTGGCCCTTTAGAACTACTCCTGAGATATTTTTCTTTTTCCAAGCCAGAATTTCTAGAACTTTGTTCTGGGTTTAGACTAATAAATGTTCCAATTGTCAATACTGTGTTAGAATCTTTCTTTCTGGTAGAAATGATAGGACTCCATGTCAAAAACCTTACTTTGTGTCCTACCTTGAAGATATAATATGACTTCATGACCCCACCCTGACCATGGTTCCAAATGAACCACCCTCATGAAGCATTTAGTTTACACCACCATTGTATTCTCTTTGCTGTGTTATTTTTGGTTTCGATTTTCCCGAATTTTTTTTTAATGAGAACATATTCTTGTAAAAGCCATCTGTTCAGAGAAAAGCCATCACACGATAATGATGTCAGACTGTTCTAGAATGTTCCAGAGCCACAGCTCATTAACTCATTTCCTAGATCATCTGATGGCCTGCATGATAAGCCTCCATTGTCTTTAATGTACTATACAAGGTTTTGCTTTTTTTTTTCCTGATCATCAAAAAGGACAATGTGGTTTCTTCTTTTGGTTCAGTATTTCACAAGAACAAGCAATGACTCTACAGACTGAGGTCCTGCCTTAAAAATTAAAAATAAAAAAACACAAATCAAAAAACCATTGCATCAAAGTGGACTTAAGCCTTTATCACACAGAGTTCTCGGTTTTGTATTATGGGAAACATTTTCCATTATTTGAACCTCTGCTTTAGTTTTGAACATATGAGAAAAATCCCCAGATGTGCAGAGCTGTTGGCAAATGAAATGACTCACTAGCCATGTGAAGGAGACTGCCCTCCACTAGGTTTGGCACAGACAGACATCAAGGTGAGATACCCAGAAGGGAGGTCTGTGTGCGGATCTGCTCAGGCCATCAAATGCTCCTGCTCTCTGCAGCTCTGAAGAGGCTGGCTAACCTTTGTCTCCCAGGTTGGCTTTCAGGGCTACTGAGACTTGACACTGACATTTTTAAAGACCTATGGGAGCTTATATAAAAGCCAATAACAGATAACTGTGGTAGTTAGGACCATAGCTGTCATGATATTCTTTATTTTAGACTCAAATTTGGAAAGGTTCTCTAAAGTCAAACGCTCCCTCCTGGTCACCTGTCTCCAGGCTTCCTTTCATTTCAGTTGTGCCATCGTGGCTTGAACTCCCAATTCCCCTACGGGGGTAGCAGTGACTACCTAAGTCCCTGATGGGGTGGAGGTATGTCCAAGGCTGCGGCCTCTGTATGTCCTCCGTCACCATACTGTGTACTGGAAACCCAGGGATATCACATAGCCAACTGTTAATGTCCTTGAGGAATAAATCTGATAAGGAATACAAATGTTTAGTTTCTTCATATGATGAATAGAGATGCTTTGTGATTTTATTATTTACCGAATTGCAAATACATAAAATAGAAAATGAAACTGTCCCAAGGGGAAGCCACTTCTCCCGGCCCTGCCCTGCCTGCGTATCAGCTGTGGGGATTGTCCTAACATTTATAAAGACAAGCTTCCTTCAGTCCCTTCAGTGGCCAAGAGGGTTCAGTGAAGTAGACAGCAATGGCACACAGTGAAACATCTCCTATGGAAGGTTCTAAGAGGACCCTTGAAGAATACCACATAAACGAAGTTGTGGGCTTTGCTCTGCCACATCCACTGGTAAGAGATATAAGTGAAAACTCTGCTTTAGCCTCATTATTTATCTTGACAGAAGAATGTCTGAATAAGCAACTATGCCTCACCTTCTCCTGAACGAATGCCGGAGCTAGGGTACAAATAAGCGAGCCTCCTTGCTCTTCATGGTTTGTTCTTCCAACCTCATTCGTGTGTGCTCCTTACTCTCCTAAGGTTGAAATGGGAGGAGAGAAGTCTTTTAGCTTTATAAGGCAACAGCGCTTGCAGAGGGAAGTGGGTTTCTAACAACCACCTTTTCAAAGGCAACAGTCAAATGGCCCGAGTCGTGGGAATTTCCCTCTTTTGAATTATATCAAATGTATAAAGTCTGTGTTCCTCACTAATTTCGATAAACGGGATGACATATCAAGTAACTTTTATTTGGTATTAATAATGCTTGTCGTTTGCATAATTCAAAGGAGGGTCTAAACTGCATTGACTGTGCTTTTGCGCAAGATTTAGCCTCGAAGTGCAATGTGTGTGGAGTCGGGGAGTGGAGGGGATACTCATCTTAAAACACCACACATCTCAAGCAGGTACCGTGGTGCACAAAACCAGCACCCGGGAAGCAGAGGCAGGAGAATTGCCTCAAATTCGGGGTCAGACCATCTCAAATTAACAAACCCAAGAACTTACTGAACAAACAGAAACCATGTCACTAAATTGAATTGTAAAGAATGCCACGCATATCAGTTTATCAACAGCAATTTATGAGAACTTACGGATAATAGGATGGAGGCAATATAGTCCTATAGAGGTGGCCGCCGCTCACCTAGTCCCGCTAAGAACCGGAGTAAACTGCCACGGTTTGAGCTTGAGTGACACTGGGTTGGACTCAGCCAGGAAGAGCCCGGAGCCAGGAACGTACGCGTCTTAGGGTCAGTGGGTTAGAGACTGAGATAAGATATGGAAAACCAAAGCGGTTCCCGGGTTAGCGAAGAATTTGGAACCTTGCAGAGTTAAGGGTGTACCAGCTTTCCCCGTCTGGGGCTTTCTGGCTTATGCGCCCTGCACGCTCAGGCGGAGCACCCCGCAACTCTCATCCAATTCGCTGGCTTGCTGCCTCGAGGGCGGTACTAAGGTCTAGCGCGTATCCCCAGGCTCTCCCTGCCTGTGGGCACCACGCCTGGTACCCATGCCCTGGAGGCTGCATCCTCGGGTACCCTGGCGTACCTAGTGCTGAGGTCTCCTCGTACCGGGTCCCTATGTGAGTATTGGCCACCTCGGGGGCTAGCGCAGTGGTTCTCAACCTTCCTAATGCTGCAACCCTTCAACAGTTCCGCATGTAGTGGCGATTCCCAACCTTAAAATCATTGTCGCTGCTACTTCATAACTGATACTTTGCTACTGTTAAATCTCTGTGTTTTTTTCGATAGGTTTAGGCAACGCTTGTGAAAGGGTCTATCGATCCCTGAAGGGGTCGCGCCAGAAACTGTGGTGTAGCTGGAAGCTACAGGTTTCCAGGGAAGGAGTAACCAGGTCTGCGTGTGGGTGTGGTTCAGAGTTCCCGAGTTCTTTGGGGACTTTGCCTGTATCTCTGTAGAACTCACTGGCGATGTGTGATTGTAAACGAGATTTAGGAGATATCTTTATTTGAATTTAAATGAATTTTTCATTTGAGGGTGGGGGCGAAAATAGCTTGTGGTGGAGGAAGTAGACAACACGCCTACAGCAGCCCCTCCCCACCATTGGCTTTACTTTCCAGGCTTTCTCCTACCCGTGACAGCCTAGGTGCCCCCCCCCCCCCCCCCCCGCCATCTCACAGTATGAGCACAGCGTGTCTCAGAGGAGTGTGAGTGCCCGTCAATCGTTTCCTTTAAGTGATGAGGTGACCGTTCTGGATTACATAAAGAAAACAATTATTTGAGGTTGCTGAGATTTATGGTGGGAACAAATCTGTCGGAAATTGTGCCGGGAATTCGTAGGTTAGGAAGATGGTTCACTCGGTGGCATGCATGCACAAGAACATAAATTAAAACAAAACGAAACAAAACACAACAAACAAACCGTTGAGGTGGTGTATTCTTGAAATCCCAATGGGTCCCTAGGGCTTATTGGCCAGCCAGCCTAGCCTAGCCTAAAGGGTGTGCTCCAGGACAGAGGCGCCCAGTCTCAAAAGTGAGGTGAACGACACACCTAAGGCTGTCTTCTCACCCCACACATACACACACACACTCACATACACACATATACAGACATGCACACACATGCATACACACACATGTGCATACACAGACTCTGTCCTAGTTCTGCTGCCCTACCTCAGACTGCAAAAGTTAGAGCCACAGGGTCCTGACTGCTGCCTACTTAGGATGGATCAGGCCCTAAATGCCCGGTAATGCCAGGCCCTGCAAGAGCTAAATTAGAACCACAATGCAGTTTTGATTCTTCTAATTGGAAATGCTTGTTTGAGCTACAAATAAATTATATACAAAACAAATAGCAGATAGATATTTAAATGTGCGAGAGACCACTTCTTGGGCCATTGTGGAATATGAGTAATATATACGTGGAACTGAGTGTGGTGCCTAACTTACTGGTGACTTTCACGCCATTTCATTTTCCTTCCATTCAAAGAATATACCTGAGGAGGAAGTATCAGAAAATAAGGGACGCAGTGTGAAATGGTATCACCCATGGATTCATGGAGAGGAGACTGGTGTAGGATGCAGTAACGAGGAAGGTTTGGGGAGAATCTTGAACTGGGTATAGAAAAGTGTGAATGGAAGAGAGGAGCATGGGCCTCTGCCTGTGCACTGGTCCGGTGGCAACACCTGCCTGGTGTTTGTTGGGGACACCAGTGGAGCCACGGGCAAGCTAGACCATCCACAGGAGAGCCTGTGCTACTTTAAGTGACCTCCATGAGCAATTGCAACAAGCTGGTCTTGTTTTCCTTTCAAGGAGGAACTGCCCCCTGCGTTCGAGGGCTGGCTCCGCATTGCTAGAAGTCTTCCTAAACTGATCGAGAATGGGCAACTTAGAGAAGAAGTTGAGAAGGTTTGCAAACCCGTATTACCGTCTTTCTGTGTAGTTTCTTCACATTTTAACCTTGGTTTTAAAACCCACAGTATTCCCAGGATTGATGTTAGCCAAATGTCTCCATCTGTTCTCAGCTGCCAACACTCAGCATTGACGAGCTGAACGGGCACAGGTTGCAGCGCCTGGCACATTTGGCTCTGGGGTACATCACCATGGCATATGTGTGGAACCGAGGAGATGACGATATTCGGAAGGTTTGGAGATTTTTGTGTGGGGGGGGTATTTCTCATATTGGATTTTTATTAACATGAAAATTAGTTCCAGCTTTTATTAAGTGTAAAAACTTTTGAGAACTTGGAGGATAACTCAATGGCAGAGATCCTGCCTGGCATATGGAAAGTCCTAGGTTTGAAACCTAGAGTTGCAAAAAGTTAAATATTAGAAGTATATTATTATCATTACTATTGGTGATGCCGAGGAGTTGGTGCTTCCCAAGTGAGACACTAGGGTTGAGCCCAGGGCCTTGTGTGTGTTAGGTTCCATGGGGCTACAATTTAGAAGTTTGCATGAAGAGACCATCATGGTCTTAGCATCATTAAACAACAACAACAAACCCCACAAAACATGTTTATTAGACTCAGTAGGGAAGTCAGAATTATGACAGAAAGATAAAGTGAAGCTCATTTTAATTTATCACAACTTTGTCCAGCTCTTAAATCCTGGCAATAAAACTATACAACAGCTTATTGTAAAGAAGGGGTTTGTTTCAAAGCAAAAATAAGTGAGCAAAATCTAAGTCGGGATTCTGCCTTTCTTCTCATCCGCAAAGTTAGCTGTAATAGCAAAGTGTTAGGACGCTCCCTTTGCTTTCCCAAGTCAGCTCAAATTATTTTACTAAATGCTTCACTGTTTCCCTCTGGTCCTGTGTCTGTAAACCTCTGATGAAGAAAATGAGTTTCCATTTGAAACATGTATGACTAGTTGCAGCTGACTAGTTCACGTGTATGACTAGTTCACATGTATGACCAGTTCACATGTATGACTAGTTCACATGTATGATGAGTTCACAGCATGTGTAGGTGCAATCTGATAAACAGTGGTTCTGATATTGCTCTCTTGGTTAGATCCACCCCCAACATGAATCTGAAGCCATGATTTCTCCAAACCGTGGCATCAGCTGTGTGTTATGACGCAGACTTTATACCGCTAGAATGTCTGCACCCCGGTGGCCTTTGGGTCCCTCACCTTCTCCCTTTGTTACATATGCTCACCCTAGCTATGACTCACTCTGACCGTGATTACTTTAATCACTGTATGGGAGCATCTAGTTCTAAATCAAATGATGTTAAGCCAGACAGGTTCAGAACACAGTGCTAGCTGTATAGTTAATAAAACCACTGGGATTACTCAGCTTGGACACCAGGGAACTAAGGGGGATGCACTACTCACCCATAGGGAAAGGAAGATTTCTTCACCAATGATACTTCATAAAGCACCTTCCAGGAGAGAAAGAAGTATCTATTTCAGCTCATAGCTTCAGAGGCTTCAGTCCGGAGTCACTTGGCCTCGTGTGGTGGGAGCACCATCTCATGGTGACCAGAGACTGGAGGCAGAGACTTCTGTGCCGTAGACTTCCTAATGTTCCCCTGATAGTCCACCAGGGACTGCTGCCTAGAAGACCTTTCTACCCACAGTTAGGGCACATCTTCCTGGCTTAGCTAATCTTCGGAAACACCCTCTGAGAGATGTCCAGACTACCATGCTGTACGAACCTATTCAGCTCTCATCAGCATCAAGTTAAAAATCGAGATTAACAGTCACAACTAGCCAGTTAAAAGGAATGCTAACCACACAGCTTGCGGGTTGTTGCGTTGTTTTGTGCATGGGGCACAGTCTGACCGTGTAAGCACAGGCATATATGGAACTCATTCTGTATCCTGGGCCGGCCTCAAACTCTCAATTCTGCATCATCCTTCCAAGTTGTGGGATAGCATGTCTGCATCTGTATGCCTGGCACCAGTGCCAAGTATAAAGAAGTTTATTGAAAACAGAATAAACATATAATACACACACACACACACACACACACACAGAGAGAGAGAGAGAGAGAGAGACAGAGAGACAGAGACAGAGACAGAGAGACAGAGAGAGAGAGGTCTGTCCACAGCCCTTTGCTTATGCTTCTCGCATGAACCACATCCCTTGTCCTTAACAAAGCCAAGAAATCCAGGGGCAGCTACATTTTCCTTCTTTTGCTGCCACTAGCCTACATGGTGTCTCACGGGACGGATGGGTGAAGGACAGAGTGAAAATAACCCAGGGTCATTAGAAAATCAAACCTTCGGGCTCCTTATCTTTTCTTCCTTCCTGTGCCCAAATTACGTCCGCAACAACCTGCATCCCAAACACGAACACCGAACCATTGCCAGGGTTACCTTATGAAATGTGGGAGAGAAAATTCTTCCAAGTGCTGTCTGCGCTCCGGGACAAGTTTGAACGGTGCAAAGAGAAGAGAAGGTAAGGTGTTTCAGCTGCTAAAGATGAGCAGTGTGTTTCAATCAGGTGCTGCCCAGGAATATCGCTGTTCCCTACTGCCAACTCTCAGACAAGCTGGGGCTGCCTCCGATTCTGTCCTATGCAGACTGCGTCCTGGCAAATTGGAAGAAGAAGGACCCCAATGGGTATGTAACTAGGAACAGAACAGGGCTTGGAATGCATGCCATTAATTCAGGATATTTATTCCTTAATTTGGGGTGGCACAGCTTCTGTTGTTGGTTATGGCGTCTTAGACTGTGGTGTCTGTAACTATGAATGTGTTATATGATCATGAG